GATCTTTTTAACTAAATTACGCGGTTTAAGAAAACAGTTAAAATTAGTTAAAAGTAATTAATATGTAGCAAAATACAATTTTTTTCCAAATATACCCTTATATATAAATGAGTAGATGTGAGAGAGTAACAGTGAGATAAATGAAGAAAGAGAATGTATTGAATGCATTAAACTAGGGGTAAAATAGGTAATAATGCATTAAATGTTCAGATAAATTCAAAAGAAATCTTATAAAAAGGGATAAACTTATTCAAAAAATTGGATCTGATAATAAGGGACGGAGGGAATAAGAACTACTGTAGTCTATTCCTTGAGAAATGAGAATCTATTATATTCCATTCCTAAATACAAGACTATTTTATAATATAATTTATACTGTAAAATAATTTTTATATTTAAAATCAGAGGAGTATATTTTGTTAAAAAAATTTATCAAAAAGAATCCATTATGCACGGTACAATTTCGGTTTTTTAAAAAATAATTTTTATACAATTTATTAAAAATGATCTATATCCCTCTTAAAATGAGCTCAAATTTTAGTCTAGTCCTAGGCAATTTCAAAAGAGTTTTTATAGATGCTTTTAACCATGAGGCTAGTAGTTCTATGGACTTAATTCACATAAATTTTTATTTTTTTAAAAAAATTAAATTATCCGATTAATATTTGCATAAATTTTTATAATTATCTTGATTTGGGGTTGGATCCATGTTAATATGAAGAGACATGTGTCTAATTAATAGGAAGAAAAATTTTAATATTGAAACTAACTTTTCTTATCCACACAAAAATTAAATACTAATAAACAATAATCAACATCACGTCTTAACTCAAAAGTATAAAACTCAATTTTATAGGTCATTTCATTCCATTATATATTATTTATCAAGCTCAATTTCTTTTTATGTGAGAATACTAATGTTTTTTATTTTCTTCAAATGGGAAGATACATGTCCCTTTAATTCACTTGACATAAGACTTATTTGAAAGGTATTAGTTTGGAACATCAATAATGGAAATCACATCCAAGCCTCTCTTGTCAGTACATTTAGCCTCCTGTTGAACTCGCAAGTAATCTTTATATTTGATCTCTTGAACAATGGCTTTCCTTCTCTAATAGTTCCATTGCAGGCCTTATTTCTTTCTCAAGTGCTGGTCCATTCTCTAATGCAAAACTAGGCCTTGTGTCTCTTTCATTCACCACTACTCTGTGCCACACACTCTTATACCATTTGTTACTCACAATATGATTAATTTCAAAACAAATATCAAACAAGTTTATCAAAACCATCACAAACAGAATAAGCTGGCTGGTTAAGGTGAGTATATACAATTAATTAATGAGGGAAAGTTGATGAGTGACCTCAAGTTGATCTCCAACGTCGGCAAGTAAGCAATGAGGCAAAGGAGGATTCCCATTAACCTATTTATGATGGGGCTTCACTTGAAGGCCTTTGATTCCATTTTCAATAAGGAGGGTTGGTAAGTCATTGTCAAAGTGAGGAAGTAACCCTAAAGTAAGGTCTAGTTGAGGACATGGAGGGTACAAGTTCACCTGACATGTCTCATGTCCTGAATCAAAACCTGTGGACTCTACAATGGCCTTGGCTTGTAATCCTAAACTCTTTGATATTCCTTCTAGCAAAGTCCTTGCCACATTTCTTATGCCTTTATTGTATTCAAATGCAACCTCCCTCTGCAAAATGACAATGAAAAATGTGGTATTATATTTGTCAAAACCTAACTCACTCTAACTATTTGTTAAAGCCCCAAAGGTTTTATCAGGCTTCTATATTTTTCTTTTATTGAGAGTACTAGACATTAATGACCTGAGATTACATTGAGCATGATCAAACTCATGATCTCTCACTTACAAAAAGGTTTTAATGCCATTAGTCTACGAAACCATTGACAAGCTTCTACATTATTGAAGGAGAGCATACCTGTGATGAGTACATAGATTTGACACTACGTAATTAATTCAAAATCTTGCAACGTCACATTTTCACTCTATTTCTGCTAATATGGGAGACTTCAATTTCCCCATGCATATATAGTAACTCATTGTTGGATACTAATTAAAAAAAAAGACAGGATAGAGGAAGAGAAATAAAAAAGAGAAGTTGAAATTGAGCGTACTTGAGATGAGGGGGCTTGTGGGGGAAATGGAATTCAGGAAAAGTAGTAGGTTTTAGATCCAGTAATGAACCTTCTCTCCATAAGGAAGGGAACTGGTACCAAATCTAACGGGTGTGATGATTTCTTTATTGAAAAATTCCATCTTTTCCTCAAGAGGCAAATCGTGAAACTCCAGAGACTTGTTTATCACCTCCTCCATCAGTTTCTCTGAAATCCCATGATTTGTAATCTGAAAGTGACACATCCAAAAACAAAGTCAACCAGAAAAGCAATTCTAGATACTATAGAGGCTTCAACTAAATATTCTCAAACACTTTAATTGCCATGAAGAAGCCCCATTCTCTGCATGCATCACCTAGCTGTCGAACTGCGTCCGCATGGATTTGAGGATCCGGGGAGGTGAGGAGGGAGAAATCGAGGACGGGGATGGAAGCAGCAAGGTCATCATCTGCAACATCATCACGACGAGGTTCAGCGAGAGAGTAGTACGTGGTCGGGATGGGAATGTCGCCGTTTGATTCAATGAAGGCCTGGATAGTTGTAACAGTATTATCAGAAGCATGAAGCTTTTGGGGTTCTGATGAGGAGGAAATAGTACCAGGTGAAGCCATGGAAACATGAGAGTTGAAGATACCGTGAATAGAAATAAAGAAAGAGTATTGCAGGAACAATATAATAGTGTGAGGTAGGGGACGAGATACTTGGTAATAATTGATGATGATTGACAAGTGTGGTTAATGATACATTCAAGATTAGGATCCATTTATATTCTATACAATCATTGATTGAGATCATAAGTTTTTAAGCTCCCTAGCTAGTGATGCTGCTATGAACATATGGTTGATCGGATAGCTCTCTAATAGTGAGGTATTTGGTTTTCTGCTTAATTTGGTGGACAGCACTTTCAATAATTGAGAACAGAGACGATACTTTTGAGTTGATTGATTCATTGTACTTTTATTAGATGATATATCTTTGCATGGTAATACACACACACACACATATATGTATCTCACAGGTATCGATATTTCCAGTTTGGGAAATTCACTATGCAGTCATATGTATGAATACGATAATATGAAATCTTATATTAAGGACAGGGGATAGTATAATTGTTCCAGTGTAAACATACATAAAGAGACAAAGTGATGAGAAAAATTGAAGAGGCAAGACAATGGCTCTCGCTTGGTAAACTAGGATTGAATAAGAATGGTAATCTTGTTTCAAATTACGGTTTGTGTTTTAATTTGCAATCTTCATTTCATTTCCTAATGTTGCAAAAAAAATTGCCGGCAAATTATTACTACCTCTGTTTTTTATTTTTTATTAATATAAGAGCCATATTAATATTCAATTTGATCCTAAATATAAGACCGTAATCTATTTTATCTCCAACTTATCCATTTTATCTTTAAATAATTCTCAGTAATTGTAGATATTAAGGAGTTTCCATCAAGGAATATTTTCAATACACATGATTAATAGGGATGTTTTAGGAAGAACAATATTTATTTACTACCAAAGGTAGTATTTGTCAAGGTTTGATTGCCACATTAACATCTGTCAGTTATATTTGCGTAATCATCTTTTCAAATAAAATTCCAAATGATAGTGTTTAGATTTGTATGTTCCTATATATAATAATCACAAAATTGAAATTGAAAATTATCAGAGCGAGTGCTATCATATATATGTGACATGAAAACCTTTTCAACACAGGCGTCTTACTTGTTAGCAATTGGAGAAGATACCATGCACTAACAACTAGTATTACAAAATCCTATATCCTCACTATCCTCGGAATCTAAGATAATAAAAGGACACTCATCAATAGGGAACATTAGAGCCCCTAGCCATGTGTATGCTTATTCCTTACTGTTGTGTCATTCTGTTAATATAAGTTGATATTGGGACCTTTCTAAATGTTGCAATAATTCGCATTCAATGACCGCTTAAAGGATATTCCATTGAAAAAGAAAGTGGCATAAGTACACACACGTATTCTGATAAACCATTACTACAAGCTCTTATTTTCTCACTATATCACTAAATTTAAGATAAAGAAAGGGCATTAATTAGAAGGAAACATCAGAGCTCTTAGCCAGATGTTGTAACTGCAGCAAAGCAACCTAGCTATTCCCTGAAGCAAAATATGAGACCTGAATTTGAGACAATCTCACCAATTCGTCATACTCGCGTGTTGCTTTGCATATGATTTGATGTTTGTCATTCAATGTTTATTATATTTAATAGCTAAGGGATTATATTATTTGATTAAGTAACCTCCAAGGCATGACTCTCTGTTATTTCAAACAGTATATACCACAATGGAGCAGAGCACCTTAAGCGTCAAAACAGAATGTTACTATTAGATTGTTTGGTATTTGATATTTGATTTGATTCACTGCGTTGCAAGTTTCAAGTTTTGATACCTGAAATCTTTAAATACAGAGACATATAATATCTTTTTACTGTGTACATTCATATATCACATGGAACACCATTCATCAAAAGGCTTCTTAACAACATGAGACACACATAATTGTTATTACAACATGTTCTCTTCTCATAATTCACTAAAGTTCAGATAACAACAGGACAACTGATAGGTTTGACCATGCTTCACTACAGAAGAACTCCTTATTCCTTGACGCAGAACTCAGTATTTGAATAACGATCAGAGCGATGATAGCTATTCCACTTGCATCCGATAGGCAAACCATATTGAAAAGTAAACAAGATATAACACAATCAGCTAAAGAACAATATTTTTTAAGTGAAGGAAGCTAATTTAAATAATAATAACACTTGAAAAATCAAAGAAGCTTATTTATTACCTCAAGGGATATTTGTTACTAATACTTAGCTGAAGCTTTTGAAGAAGAGGGCCCAAGCAACATAAAGTTGATCCGCCAAGTGATCATACCATCGGAAAAATTTGTATCTCCATGCTCTGATGAGGAAGAGAGAAGCACAAGCTCCCCAAAAACCTGCTGCAAATCCAACCCCCATACCACGATACAATGACTTTAGAAAGCCGTCATCTTCATCTCCTTCAGCTAGCTTTGAGTCATGAGTTTCTTCTTTATTATTGCACTTATTTGGAAGAGGATCTCCACAAAGTTCAGGATTGCCAACAAAACTCCAAGAATCAAAAGTTTGAATTTGGGTTCCCAATGGAATTTGTCCAACGAAATTGTTGTATGAGAGGTTCAAATAATCAAGAAAAGACAAATTGGATATTGTTGAAGGAATTTTTCCAGAAAGGTTGTTGTAGCTAAGATCAAGAGATTCCAATTTCATGACTCCAATTTTTTTGGGAATTTTCCCAGTCAAATAGTTTCGAGACAAATTCAAGGATTGTATTTGACTGTTACTAACTAGTTCTTCAGGAATTTCTCCAATCAAACTATTAGCAGAAAAATCAATAACGCCACTCGTAGAATATTTAAGACGCCAAAATGATTGGTAGTCAAGTTCCCTTCCTTTCATAAATATTTTTAAGATTTCATTAGGCATGTAGTACAAAGAGAGTGGAGGTGTCATGTTGAATAGGCAACGAGGTATGGATCCTGAAAGCTTATTTTCAGCCAGATCAAGTATTGTCAAATGAGAAAGGTTGCATAATTTTGATGGAATACTGCCCACAAATTGATTGGCCCTCAATTTAATAACTACCAAATATTGCGCCACTGGATTTGGCAAACTTCCAGAAAATTTATTTTTCTCTAAAATGAGGTATTCCAAATAGGTCCAATTTAGCATGTTTGACGAAAATTTTCCAAAGAAACTATTATCACCCAAATCCAACGAATTAAGATTCAATGAAGCCAATGAGGGAGGAACTTCACCTATCAGCTTATTACTCCCTAAATTAAGGTGACGTAATTGTTTCCAATTGGCCAAGCAATCGGGAAGTGCTCCGCCCAAATGATTATATGATAAGTCCAAGTAACTCAACATGCTCTCTCCGTTGCTCTCTAGTTGGCACACTAATGAGAAAATAGATCCTGATAAAGAGTTGTGAGATGCATCAAAGTGAGAGATATTTGCTGATAGTGAGACGTTGGATATGTCATCACTAATCCAGTTGTTTGAGATATCAACAAAATATATTCCTACTACAAAGCTCCAAAATATATCTGCATCAATTTTTGAAATCCCAGATCTAGAAATATCTAGACTTCTTAAAGACCGTTGAGTGTATAGCCATGATGGAACATTAGGACCTATGCGTGTGTTGCTCAAATGCAACATGTCAAGTTGAAATGGTGGGACCCATTTAGGATCAAAGTCAAATTCAAAACTTGTTGAGCTTAAGCGCAATGATGTTAAATTTGAGAGATTGGCAAAATTCATTTCAGAAAGAACACCTATCCACGGATTGCCACTGATGTCTAAATGATATAATTTATGGAGTTGTCCCAAGGTTTCTGGAAGATCCCCGTTCAATTGATTGTAGGACAAGTCTAAGTAGAACAAGGAAGAAATATTTCCAAGAGACGATGGAATTATGCCATGGAACAAATTGCCATAGATGTCCAAGTGTTGCAACTGTTCAAATTGGCCTAACCAATCTGAAATTGATCCTTCAAAATTATTATACCCTAAATCTAAATACTTGAGATTTTGAAGATTGAGCAAAGACTTCGGCAATTGTCCATAGAAATTGCACTCACTAAGTTCGAGATCATAGATGTGATTGGAGATATTAAAGAATGAATTAGGTAATTTTGACTTCATCATGTGATAGTTGAAAGAAAGATCAAGAACTTCAAGTGATGTAAAATTGGCATAATCGAGGGAAGGAAAATTTCTTAATCCACATTGACTCAAGTGTAACTCAGAGAGTGAAGGAAGCATGGCTATATGCTGGAGCCATTTGGTATCATCTCCAATACCACTGTCACTAAGGTCAAGATATTTTAAGGAAGAAAGTTGAGAAAGCCAATGAAGGTCATTTATGGCTAAACCATGATTATATGAAAAGTTCAGATAACGCAGAGCAACAGAGAAACTTGCAGAGTGATTGGAAGGAGTAGCAAGTGATTGGTTGTGAAAATTGTGAGCATCAAAGGGAGATTTGGAGATTTGGCGTGGTGGCATACTCACAGTTTTGAAGTCATTCCAGCTCAAATCCAAGTGGTTGAGAAATTCAAGTTGAAGCACACACAGATTAATCTCACCTCCTAATGAATGATTGAAGAGAGAAAGCTCTGTGACTCTTCCGGTGATGTTGTGGCAGTGAACTCCCTCCCATAAACAGCAGTCTTTTTCAACACTCCAAGATGAGAGTTGGTTGGTTGGATCGACCACTCCTTGTTTGAAGATGAAAAGCAGACTTTGATCATTTTCATCGCAACTGATTACCCTGTTTAATGTTGTTGCAAATAACAGAAACAACAAAAGAAAAGATATTTGTGAAGCGAAGCTCGCCATTGGTAAGTGAGTTCGAGTATGATGGCCTCAATGAAGTCTTTACATTTTATGTGTGTGTGTGTGTGTGTGAATGTTTATAGACACACACGCGTATATTGGAAAATCTAAAGTAAACAAAAACTTAAATGCCTTAAAAAATTGATAACCACATGATATTTCTTATTATCAAGTCTACTAATATTTTTAAGTCTTCCCGTCTTTTCAATACAAAATCGTGTCATGAATAAGAAAATACCACAGATATAATAGATGACGTATTTAGATCCTTTTAAAGTTAGCAGGCGTTAGGGAAAAACTGGAGAAAATTACTCGCAAAAATATTGAAGGCTAATAGCTCATTGATTTTATTTTATTTTTAAAATGTTTGAAAACAAAACAAATCCTACATGGGCTCCACATGGAGATTAAAGAATCATCATCACTATTTTATGACTTATAAATAAAATAACTTATGACAAATTTTGCATTTTATATTATTATTAATTATAAAAGGAGTATAAGGAGTATACAAACACGCACTCACGTAATGAACTCAAAGTGAATTAATTTTATTTATTTTTGTTTTAGTCCAGAAGTGAATAAATTAATTCAGATAATCAAAATTTGAATAAATATTTTGCTCTGAAGTTTGATTTTCTTGGATAAAAAATTCGACAAAATTTTAGTATGACCGGAAAATAATAAACCTTTTCTTATAAAATTTAATATAACCCAAAAAAATCATAATAATTCCGTTCGGACTCCAACTTTTCCTTTTTATTCTTTTTAGCTTCCTTTTTTTTTTTGGCCGTAATTCTATTTAGCGTATTTATTGCTTGCTGATTACTCCTTTCCTTCCTGTTCACATGCCTTCCAAATACACGACACGTACATTCATAACAAAACTAAATGCCTTAGCTAAAATTTAATATAAATTCAGGCTTTAATAGGTTCAAAGAAAAATTGATCCTATATGCAAAATATTTGACTGGCGTCTCGATTTTATCATTTATGTTTTCTTGAACTGTGTTTAATTTGAATACATTATACTCCTCTGGTCTTTAATATAGGACTTAATTATTGAGTTTATTTTGATCCTAAATATAAGACTTCTTTCTCATATTTATCCTGATGGATACTCTCTCAACCATAATCAAGTAAAAAAAGAAGAAAGAATATTAAGAAAGATGATTACAGTGTTTTAAAAAAAATATGTTATATTTTTTATAATTAACTAACTTACTTAACTTCTTTAATCTAATTAAATTAGCTAAATGGATCTTATATTAAGGACCAGAGGAGTATAATGTAGGTTTGCATGAAAAATTACTGTAGAAAGTTTGCATTCATTCATTATCTTTACTCCAAACACACCACAAAATCAGAGCTCTAAAATTCGAATTACATTGTACGTTGAAATAACAAAGCAAATGAAATTTTCAAAATGAACCTGTCATCATGATTTATTTGAGCAGAATTAATTCAATTAAGTCTTTAGTTAGATTACATGGTCACGAAGTACATATATAAGTTGTGAAAAATGAAAACCATTACAAATAAATTGTTTATGAGAAAATATTGAAAAAAATAAAAATGGATAAAAAAAAATCTATAACCACATTTTTTTTATGGTCAAGTCTTCTAATACTTTCAAGTATTCCCATCTTTTAAAAAAAAACTTAGAATATTAATACATCCATTTTCATATCATTTTCCATTCATATTCAATTTCCGCAACCAAATTGTTTGAACACTTCAAAGATAAAAGACCCTTAAGCAATAAATTAAACAATTTTTTTTCATCCAATTAGGGGTTTCATCAAATACAACTTTGAGCCTTTAAAATAAGAAAAATATCCTATGAATTATTATTTAGACCTTTTATGATCAATTCATACCATAACAACATGACATGTGGCGTTATAGAAAAACTGCACACAATCATATAAATCTTTAAACGATTGTTTTGGGGATGTTTTTAATTTCGAACTAGAGTGTTTGCAAATAATTCACACATAAAGCAATTTTTTTAATTTTAGCTATAAAATGATCAAATTAATGTATTCTCTATACCTTGATTTCAGCTATATATATAAATATATATAATATCTTGAAATAAATATTTGTTTTTGCATCATAAAGTCTGTTTTAAGTAGAAAGTTTTAGGAGCTAAGACGCGGATAGAAAATTTGCAAATCTTTGAGTGTGACCTAAAATTTAAGTTTACGTCTACTTTTCAAAAAAAAAATTGCATATAACTTTTCAAAACATCAAAGATTTAAAAAAATACAACCGAGAAGATACAATTAGATTAGAAGGTCAACCAATATGGTTGGGTTTAGCGGAAAAGATTAGTCTTTCATAATGTGACAAACTAATATTCAAATCTCTGCTAACAGAATGTCTATATTTAGTGCCAAACTATGCCTTAAATAGAATTATCTCTAATAAGAGGATACTTATGCGTAAAAAAAAAAACAAATTGTAGGTTCAGATTGATAAATTTAAAATGTTTACATTATGACAAATGGTGAGATTAAGTATTTTGGAATTTTTAATGAAATATTCTTGACGATATTAAAAATTGGACTATAGAGTGTTTCTTTTGAAAATAGAGGTGACCTTTAGTAAATTAGAGAAAGGATGTCATTATTTTTATTTTTTTCATGAAACAAGGATATCTCTAAGTCATATTAGACTTGAGACTAATTCCTTTTGGGCCTAAAGAGGTTAAAGAATAGCCCTCTCAACAAGTACGCTTCCCGGGATTTGAGCTTGTGTTCTTTTTCTTACAGAGGTGAGGCTGTTACCACCTCAACCAACAGCTTGTTAGTAATGTTATTGTATTTTACTTTTATTTAACTTTTTTCCCGGTAAAAAAGGTGATTGAAAAATTAAAAAACAAAAGAAATTATGTGACATGTTGAAGAGATTGCTTTGTCCACATAATGCTTTTATAAGTCTTCGCTTCAAATTATACTCAGTTTCAGTCCTTTACTCATTAATAATTTCACCGGAGCTTTCACTCTTATCATCTCTTTCAATTTTCTTTGGCAAAAGATTTTTTTATAATCTCTTATCATCTATCATATATTCCGATCCTTCTAAAGTTAGTAGGTGTTAGGGAAAAACTGAAGACAATTATGCATGAAAATATTGAAGGCCAATGGCTCGGTATTTTTTTTATTTTAAAAATGTTTGCAAACAAAAAAAATCCTACATGGGCTCCATGAGTGGCATGCAACTTAATAGAATAATCAATACTATTTTATGACTTAAAAATAAAATAAATCATTATAAATTTTGTTTTTAATTAATGAAGGAGTACACTTAACCAAGTATTGAGTCAGAGTGAACTAATTTTATACTCTATGCATAAAGTGATAGGCTGTTATCTGGGGCAAAGACGTGGGAAAGAGAGCCGGAAGACCTGAAAAGGTTGAAAGAATTTTGTTCAATGGGGATGAAGAAAACAACAAGGTTAAGATATTATTTTAACCCTGATCTTATTTCTTAGTTACAATTTTAACTTTAATCTTTTTAATGGTACAGTTTTGACTTTGATTTTTTTGGGGTGCAGTTTTGATCCTGATGGGTAAAATTGCACTGAAAAATCAAAAGTAAAACTACACCCGAAAAAATCAAGAATAAAATTGTATTTGAAAAATAAGATTAAGGGCAAAATTACTTTACTAAAAGATTAGAGACAAAATTGCACATAAAAAATAAGATCATGGTCAAAATTGTACTTGAATCCAAAAACAATAAAAAGAGTAAGCTATACAAATATTTTTTATTTATCTAAAATATCCTCTTTAATTATTTGTAATCGGAGCTACTTCTATATCTTGCCCTAATTTAATATGTGCAATAAATATGTATGGTTTGAGGATAAATTATAAATTTAAAAAATAAAATAAACTAGAGTTTTATATTTACAATCAAAACGAACATCTCAATAAGCTTCTGTATTAAAAACCGAATGGAGTAATATTATAAAGTTTAAGGTAGCTCCAAAAAATCTTTCAAACTAAATTTATGTTAATTTTTGCTGTAAGTTTTATTAATTTCGGGTGCTTAGCTTTGTTTCCAAACAATGGTCATTCTATAATTTCAATAAGATATTAATCATTTAATTGACAACTTTATCCTTCAATAAGGAGAGATGGAAAAAGAAAAAGACGTTACAGTGTAAAATATTACATGGGTGAAATTAAACGGAGAAAATATCACATGCATGTATTTAACACCGCGGCATGCATGGATTATGAGAGATATTTATTGTTGCGTGGTGACACTCAGGAATGAGGATACCTTGCCGCGGCAATCGATGGTGGTGATTGATTTGAAATTGAGGATGTTTTTTCCAATTACTTTGATGACGAATGATTCTTATTTCTTCTAATTTTTAACGTAAAAGCTACTTAACTAATTTTATATAGCTTAAAAAAATAAGATAAATTAGTTAATTTTTAGAAATGTAATGCAATCTCCCCGAAATAATCCTTTGTAAAATTAGATTCTATATTAACTTATAAGTTAGATAAATTAGTTTTTTAAAAAATGATATGGGAGACAAAATAAACTGAAAGTTTATATTTTGAATTAAATTTAACCATTAACTAGCTCTTATATTAGCAATAAGAAAGAGTATTAATTAAAATCCATAAATTGAAGTACTCTTTCATCTTTTTTTTTTTTGGTACATACTCTTTCATCTTTGAAATATTCATTTAAATACTCAATTGCCAAGAACACTACTTCCTCTGTTGTTTATTATAAGAGACAATTAACCAAAACCCGTTGAACAGAAAATTAGTTAAAATTGGTTAAAAAATAATAAATATGCAAAAAATGTGATTTAATTATTTTTTAAAAAATATCTTCAAACTGTCTCTTATAAAAAGAAACATGCCCTTTCTCAAGGAATTGTTTTTTATAAATAGAAATGGAAAGTTGAATAATTATATAAATTGTTTGTGTCATTTAGATTTTGCTGTTAATTATATAAATTCGAGCGC